GGGATGTGGTAAAGGGGACTGTGGGGCAGTAGGTTGTAGGGGGGTAGGGACTGTGGGTCAGTAGGGCCCGGGCAGTGGCCCGTTGGTCGAAAGGGACTGTGGGCGTGGGTTAGTAGGACGTAGGTCAGTAGGGACGTAGGTCAGTGGGGTACGTAGGGGTGTGGGGGATTTTGGGTCAGTAGGCCCGTGGTCAGTAGAGACCGTGGGCAAAGGGGATGTGGCAGTAGGGACGTGGTCAGTAAAGGGTCGAGGCAGGGACGTGGGCGGGCGGGGTCAGAGGGAGGGGATGGGTGTGGGAGTAGGGATTGGGAAATAGGGGACGTGGTCAGGGGTACGTAGGCCCGGGGACTGTTGGTCAGGGGGCGTGGGCAGGGGGGCTGAGGGCCCTAGGGGGGGGTGGAGGGGGGACCGGTGTAGTGGTACAGGGACGTAGGTGGGGGGCTGTGGGCATGGGGGACGTTGGTCAGTAGGGATGTAGGTCAGTAGGGACGTAGGGACTGTAGGGACGTGGGGTCAGAGGGATTTTGGGTCAGTAAAAACGTAGGTCAGTAGGGCGTAGGTCAGTAGGACTGTGGGAGTGGGACGTGGGTCGAAGGGATGTTGGTCAGTAAAATTTTGGCCCCCGTAGGACTGTAGGTATAGGATGTTGGTCAAAAGAACTGGGGTCAGTGGGGAATGTAGGTCAGTAGGATGTGGCAGTAGGGACGTGGTAATGGGGACTGTAGGCAGTAGGGATGTGGCCCGTAGGGATGTAGGTCAGTAGGCTTAGGGGTAGGCTGTAGGTACTGGGGTCAGGGGACGTATTCGTGGGGATGTTGGTCGGGGGACTGTGGGTCATAGGAGTAGGCTTAGGGACGTTGTCAGTAGGGATTTGGTATTAGGGCTGTAGTCGTAGGGACTGAGGTCGTAGGGACGTAGGTCAGTGGGGACTGAGGTCGTGGGATGTGGGCAGTGGGGACTGTAGGACTGTAGGTGTGGGCGTGGGGATGTGGTCAGTAGGTAGTAGGTCATGGACTGTGGCAGTAGGGCGTTGGTCAGTAGGGACTGTAGGGACTGAGGGCGTGGGTAGTAGGGACGGTGGTCAGTAGGTAGGGTAGGTAGTAGGGACTTTGTCAGTGGGGATTTTGGGTCTAGGGACTGTGGTCAGTGGGGAAACGTAGGGTCAGGGGATGTGGGGCTTTGGTCTTGGGGATGTGGGGCGGGTCGGGGGACTGTTCAGGGGGGACGTGGTCTAGGGATTTTGGTCAGTAGGGACTGGAGGTCAGGGGGGACTGAGGCAATGGTCTGTGGGATGTAGGGGACTGTAGGTAGTAGGGAGTTGGTCAAAAGAACGTAGGTAGTCGGGGATGTAGGTCATAGGGACTTTGGTCAGTAAAAATGTACATGGGGAGTTGGTCAGTGGGACTTTTTGGCGAGGGACGTAGGGGTGGGCTGTAGGTCGTGGGGATGTGGTAGTAGGGACTGAGGGACGGAGGTCATGGGGACGGTGGTCATAGGGACGAGTCGTAGGGACTGTTGGTCAGTGGGGACGAGGTAGTAGGACTGAGGGCTGTAGGGACTGTAGTAGTAGGAGTGGTCAGTAGGGACGTATTCAGTAGGGACTGTAGGCGTAGGGCTGTAGGTCATAGGGTTAGGTCATAGGGACTTTTGGGCAGTGGGAGTAGGTACTGTAGGGACGTGGGTAGTAGGGATGTAGGTCTAGGACTTTGTAGGCATTAGGGACTGTGGGTCAGTGGGACTGTAGGGAAGAGGGGGACGTAGGTCAGTAGGTACTGTAGGTCAGTAGGGATTTTTGCCCTGGGATTAGGTCTTTAGGGATGTGGTAGTAGGGATGGGGTCATTGGGGCGGGTCTGGGCCCGTGGTCAGAAGGGACTGGGTCATTTTGGGACTGTGTAGTAGGGACTGTAGGTCGTAGGGTTTTAGGTATAGGGACTGTGGGACTGGGGTCATGGGGACGTAGGTCGAGGAATGTAGGTCAGTGGGGCTGAAAAATTCGTGGGGACTGTTGGTCAGGGGACGTAGTTTAAAGGGGGACTGTAGGTCAGTGGGCTGTTGGTCGTAGGACTGTTGTAAGTAGGGGAGGGAGGTACTGTAGGGACGGGGGTTTGTGGGACTTTTGGTCAGAGGGACGAGGCGTAGGACTGTAGGTCAGAGGGACTGTGGTCGTAGGACTGTTGGGACTGTGGGTCAGTGGGGACTGTGTCAAGGGACGTGGTCGTGGGGTACTTGGGGATGTAGGTCAGTAGGGATGGGGTAGGGGTGGGTCAGTAGGACGGGGGTCATAGGGACTGAGGCTTGGGGATGTGGGCTTTAGGGATGTGGTCGTGGGGATGTAGGGTCAGTAGGTGTAGGTCAGTAGGGACTTTTGGTAGAGGGATGTGGTCAGTAGGGATGTTGGTCGTAGGGACTGAAATCTAAGGACTGAAGTCATAGGGACTGAGGGCATTTTAGGGATGTGGTCATGGGATGAGGTACTGTAGGCTGTGGTAGTAGGATTTTGGTCTAGGGACTGTAGGTCGTGGGCTGTAGATCAAGGGACTGTGGTCAGTAGGGATGATGGGGGAGGGCGTGGGGACTGTAGGCATAGGGATGTGGGGGGGGAGAGGGATTTGGTCATTGGGACGTGGTACTGTAGGGACTTAGGTCAGTGGGGACTTGGGGACTGAAATCGTAGGGACGTAGGTCGGGGGGTTAGTAGGGAAAGTGGTACGTAGGGACTGTGGTCATAGGGATTTTTGGTCAGAGGATTTGGGGACTGTAGGGAATGTGGGGAATTTTGGTCGTGGGGGCGTTCATAGGGTTGTTGGTAAGGGGCGTAGGTATAGGACTGAGGCGTGGGGCCTGTGGGGAAGTGGGGATGTAGGGATGTGGTCAGTGGGACTGTAGTACGTAGGACTGTAGGGAAGGTAGGAATGTATGGATATAGGGGACTGTAGGTCAGTAGGGACTGTAGGTTTTTTCCCGTAGGGACTGTAGGGGACAGTGGGTCGTAGGGATTAGGGAATGTAAAAAAGTAGGGACTGTGGGTCAGTGGGGACTCAGTCAGTAGGGGAATTGGGGGTACTTAGGATTTTCAACTTGTTCTTAAAATTTACGGGGGCTAAAAGTTTCAAACGTGGGCTGGGCGTGGGACTGGGAAATTAAATGATCAAGGGAGCGGCTGGGGAAGAGAGGGGATTGCATAGGGACTGTAGGTCTAGGTTTTTTTCTTGGTTTTTGGGGCTTTCAGGGGGCTTCTGTGGATGTAGGCAAGGCTGTTCTTGGGGTGTAGGTATGGGGTTTTTAAACTGTAGGAAAAGGGAAGGGGAGGTTCAGTCGCGGACTGTGGTCAGTAGGGACTGTTGCGTCAGTAGGTGACTGTAGGTACTGTAGGGACTGTAGCGTCAGTAGGGACTGCAGCGGTCAGTAGGGGAAGTAGGTACTGTAGGGACTGTAGGTCAGTAGGGACTGTAGGGTCAGTAGGTACTGTAGGAACTGTAGGTCAGTAGGGACTGTAGGTCAGTAGGGACTGTAGGTCAGTAGGGACTGTAGGTCAGTAGGGACTGCAGGTCAGTAGGGGAAGTAGGTACTGTAGGGACTGTAGGTCAGTAGGGACTGTAGGGTCAGTAGGTACTGTAGGAACTGTAGGTCAGTAGGGACTGTAGGTCAGTAGGGACTGTAGGTCAGTTGGGACTGTAGGTCAGTAGGGACTGTAGGGACTGTAGGTACTGTAGGGACTGTAGGGACTGTAGGTCAGTAGGGCCTGCAGGTCAGTAGGGGAAGTAGGTACTGTAGGGGGAGTAGGTTCAGTATGCTTTCCACCAGACACTGGGAGATGAATTCACCTTTCAGCAGAACAATAACCTAAAACACAAGGCCAAATATACACTGGAGTTGCTTACCAAGATTACATTGAATGTTCCTGAGTGGCCTAGTTACAGTTGACATACATCTGCTTGAAAATCTATGGCAAGACTTGAATTCAGGCTGTAACACAACAAAATGTGGAATAAATCAAGGGGTATGAATACTTTCTGAAGGCACTGTATATAAAAAAAAATATCCTGCAGCTAAGTCTATCATTTTATACTTCTGTAAATCTAGCCTAATGCATATTAAGATTAAAATAGACATGCAACCGAGGTCAGGTTATTATAAAACCAACCCCACGTGTAACTAAAACAAAACTGTTGAATTCCATCATCGGACACAGCTGGCTAAACTGTATGCGGCGGAAGGAGAGAGATTTGAAAAATCATCCATATTTAATTCCTTAAAATCATTACTCAACTGAGTATGCTGCTCTGGTGCTCTCCATAAGATGTTCCATGACAAATCCACGTCAAACCAGGCAGATGTCACAATCACACTAGAAATATAATGAAATACACTGAGCATACAAAACATTAAGAACACCTGCTCCTTCCATGCACCTCAATATTAGGAAGGTGTTCCTTATGTTTAGTATACTCAGTGTAGATTCTATTTCTATGGTATCTGTGTGTAAGCTAGGCTATGTCATCATCACCCATCTATTCTTAATCTAAACCATGGACAGTTGACAATTCACAACACAAAAACTATTCTGGTTATCATAGCTCACTAACAATTCCACATTCAACTGAATTACAAAACAAAACCAGTAACTTTAGGCATATCTTGAAAATTCTCAATTCTCTACATAGGCTATTCCCACACTGGGGTACGCGCATTACCGTCGGGGGTACACCCAAATAAAAATGTGATTTACATTTTCAAACAGTCCATTTAGATTTTCCGACGGGGCTATACATTTGGGTGATGTTTTTTTCTCCCCTGAGTAGCCTCGTTTCACTGCCAAAAATAAAATTAAACCATCTAGTGTTCAGCGAAATAACAACACAATGTCAAATACAGGTAGCCTGGTCAAATAATGAACAGCCAATCACATTAACCGTTACTCTCTCGCGGGAATTCCACTAACGGTCTGTATGTAGCCAAACGTAGCTGCTGCTCATTCCGTTTGCTCGAAAATTGATAAATGGTTAATATAAGTAAGGCCCGCGTCCATAGAGACACATACCAGCTCTACTGGCAATACTGCTACTACCAGCAGCACTACACCTGCACCTGTCGACGACACAAGTTGTTCTGCTTCCACCAGCACATCCAATGCTAGCATCAGTAATTCTACACTGACTTTTTTTGTGAATCTGATGCAGCCGAAGAGCTACTGCCCCCTTACCCGGGAAAGCACCGAACAGACAGGGATGTTGGACCATCGAAGAGGTGCAAATATGATGAGAACTACGTTGAGTTTTTTAAATTAAGACTACTTTCGAGTAGTAAGACATGTATAAAAGCAACAGATACCATTAATAAGAAGGGGCTAGGAGCGTCTTATATGGTGAGCTACCGAGTGGCTAGGACAGGCAAGCCCCATACTATTGTGGAGGACTTCATTCTTCCTGCTGCCGCGGATATGGCTGGGACAATGCCGAAAAAACTATACAGACAATGCCTTCATCAAACAACACTGTTTCACGACGCATCAGTGACATGGCAGGAGATGTTTTGAAACAATTACTGCTTTGCATACAAACCAGTGAATTATATGCGTTACAGCTGGATGAGTCAACAGACGTAGGGGCCTGGCACAGCTCCTGGTATATGTCCGTTATGTTTATGGGGGGTCAATTAAGGAAGACATCCTCTTCTGCAAACCACTGGAAACCAGGAGAGGATATTTTTAAAGTACTGGACAGCTTTGTGACATCAAATGGACTTTGGTGGTCAAGATTTGTTGCTATCTGTACTGATGGCGCAAAAGCCATGACAGTGAGACATAGTGGAGTGGTAACGCGCGTGCAAGCAGTTGCTCCCGACGCCACTTGTGTACACTGCAGCATCCACCGAGAGGCTCTTGCTGCCAAGGGAATGCCTGACAGCTTGAAAGACGTTTTGGACACTTAAGTCAAAATAGTTAACTTTGTTAAAGCAAGGCCCCTGAACTATCGTGTATTTTCTGCATTATGCAATGTTATGGGCAGCGACCATGTCACGCTTATACAACATGCAGAAGTGCGCTGGTTATCAAAAGGCAAAGTATTGACACGTTTATTTGAATTGAGAGACGAGTTTAAAGTTGTCTTTACTGACCATCATTTTTCACTTGTCTGACCGCTTGCATGATGACGAGTTTCTCACATGACTGGCCTATCTGGGTGATGTTTTTTCTCACCTGAATGATCTGAATCTAGGATTACAGGGACTCTCTGCAACTATTTTCAATATGGGGGACAAAATTGAGGCTATGATTAAGAAGTTGGAGCTCTTCTCTGTCTGCATTAACAAGGACAACACACGTCTTTCCATCATTGTATGATTTTTTGTGTGAAAATAAACTCAAGTTTACGGACAATGTCAAACGTGATATTGCGAAGCACCTGAGCGAGCTGGGTGCGCAATTATGCAGGTACTTTCCCGCAACGGACGACACAAAACTGGATTCGTTTTCCCTTTCATGCCCTGCCTCCAGTCCACTTACTGATATCTGAACAAGAGAGCCTCATCGAAATTGCAACAAGGGGTTCTGTGAAAATTGAATTTAATCACAAGCCACAGCCAGATTTGTGGATAGGGCTACGCTCAGAGTATGCTGCCTTGGCAAATTGCGCTGTTAAGACACTGATGCCCTTTGCAACCACGTACCTATGTGAGAGTGGATTCTTGGCCCTCACTAGAATGAAAACTAAATACAGGCACAGACTGTGTGTGGAAAATGATTTAAGACTCTCTCCAATACAACCCAACATTGCAGAGTTATGTGCATCCTTCTCATTAACCTGTGGTGAGTTATTCACAATTTTTTTATGAACAAATAAGGTTTTATATGTAAGAGGGCTAAATAAAGAGCAAAATTATTGTTTATTATTATATTATAATTTGTGCCCTGGTCCTATAAGAGCTCTTTGTCACTTCCCACGAGCTGGGTTGGGACAAAAACTCACACTCATTCTTATGTTTAATTAATGTATCGTATAGTGTGTGTGTGGCAGGCTTACAATGATGGCAAAAAACAACATTTGAGAGTGCGCTGACCCTGGTGCTAGAGGGGGTACGCAGCTGGAGGTTGAATGTTTGAAGGGGTACGGGACTATAAAACGTTTGGGAACCACTGCTCTATATCATCACTACATTTACAATGAGCCACCTGCGTGTAAAGATGGCTACGTCTCGTATCAACCCCATCCAGATAGATCTGGCCCAGGTAAACACTACAAGGGAACATTTCATACCAAACCAGCCACAGTGCATTTGTTGTCTGAGAGGAGATGTTCTCACTCGCTAGCTGGCTGCTGCCTTAATGTTGTTGTTGAACCGCTGCCAAATCCTGTCACCCAAGCCTCTGAGTGAGCTACCTGGGTTGGAGTGGAGACACTTTATTTGAGGGAGGGAGGGAGGGAGGCAAACCTCCCGCTTCTCTCATTTCAAGAGGGGCATGAGAACACAAAAAGACCTGAGCAGTCTGTCTCCATGGAGAACGACACAGAGCCATGAATCAATCTAGTGACTGTATCAACAATACTTAGGTATCACCTCACCAGACACACCCATTAGTTAATCTAGTGACTATCATCAACAATACTCAGGTATCACCTCACCAGACACATTCATGAATCACCTGGGGCAATCAAAGGCTTAGCGCCTTGAGAAAGTGAAACAGTAAAAACCAACTGCACCCTGTAGATACTTCCTTGTTTTGAGGATCCTCCCTATCTGCTCATAGCGAGAAGAGGACCTAGACCTATTGTTGTCCACTTCTGAGATGCCGGTCTACCGGTGTACTACAGACAGACATTACAGCCCGCGGCAACAACAGGCAGCAGTCAGGTCTGTTCAGTCACAAAAACAAGAGTCAAAGAGCTGACAAACATCACAGCCAGACAGGAGAGAGAAAAGAGCTCCTCCCTCGTCACTGTGACCTGTTATTAGCAGGCGTTATTCATTACTGAGAGCTTTTAAATATCCTTAGAGGAGCGCCCAGCCAGGAATACAGTCCAGGGATAAGATTGACTGGCTTTGCTCTTCAGAGGCTAACTGGTCACATGCAGAGGGAAGAAAGAGAGCAACGTTGTCGTTCATCACACGCACACAACACGGGAGAAATATCTCACGTGCGGCTGATCTCTCCTCATGTTGTATTTGAATAAGTGTCCTTTTGTCAAACTCATCAAAAACAGTGACCGATTTAGACCTGGGACACCAGGTGGGTGCAATTAATGATGAGGTAGAATAGAAACCGGCAGTACTCCGGACTTGGTAGGGTAAGATTTAAATACCCCTGGTCTATAACATGGTCTATAATAACTAGTATAATACCTACAGTGGGGAGAACAAGTATTTGTTACACTGCCGATTTTGCTAATTACAAAGCATGTAGAGGTCTGTAATTTTTATCATAGGTACACTTCAACTGTGAGAGACGGACTCTAAAACAAAAATCCAGAAAAACACATTGTATGATTTTTAAGTAATTAATTTGCATTTTATTGCATGACATAAGTATTTAATCACCTACCAACCAGTAAGAATTCCGGCTCTCACAGACCTGTTAGTTTTTCTTTAAGAAGCCCTCCTGTTCTCCACTCATTACCTGTATTAACTGCACCTGTTTGAACTCGTTACCTGTATAAAAGACACCTGTCCACACTCAATCAAACAGACTCCAACCTCTCCACAATGGCCAAGACCAGAGAGCTGTGTAAGGACATCAGGGATAAAATTGTAGACCTGCACAAGGCTGGGATGGGCTACAGGACAATAGGCAAGCAGCTTGGTGACAAGGCAACAACTGTTGGCGCAATTATTAGAAAATGGAAGAAGTTCAAGATGACGGTCAACCACCCTCGGTCTGGGGCTCCATGCAAGATCTCACCTCGTGGGGCATCAATGATCATGAGAAAGGTGAGGGATCAGCCCAGAATTACACGGCAGGACCTGGTCAATGACCTGAAGAGAGCTGGGACCACAGTCTCAAAGAAAACCATTAGTAACACACTACGCCGTCATGGATTAAAATCCTGCAGCGCACGCAAGGTCCCCCTGCTCAAGCCAGCGCATGTCCAGGCCCGTCTGAAGTTTGCCAATGACCATCTGGATGATCCAGAGGAGGAATGGGAGAAGTTCATGTGGTCTGATGAGACAAAAATATAGCTTTTTGGTCTAAACTCCACACGCCGTGTTTGGAGGAAGAAGAAGGATGAGTACAACCCCAAGAACACAATCCCAACCGTGAAGCATGGAGGTGGAAACATCATTCTTTGGGGATGCTTTTCTGCAAAGGGGACAGGACGACTGCACCGTATTGAGGGGAGGATGGATGGGGCCATGTATCGCGAGATCTTGGCCAACAACCTCCTTCCCTCAGTAAGAGCATTGAAGATGGGTCGTGGCTGGATCTTCCAGCATGACCACGACCCGAAACACACAGCCAGGGCAACTAAGGAGCTCCGTAAGAAGCATCTCAAGGTCCTGGAGTGGCCTAGCCAGTCTCCAGACCTGAACCCAATAGAAAATCTTTGGAGGGAGCTGAAAGTCCGTATTGCCCAGCGACAGCCCCGAAACCTGAAGGATCTGGAGAAGGTCTGTATGGAGGAGTGGGCCAAAATCCCTGCTGCAGTGTGTGCAAACCTGGTCAAGACCTACAGGAAACATATGATCTCTGTAATTGCAAACAAAGGTTTCTGTACCAAATATTAAGTTCTGCTTTTCTGATGTATCAAATACTTATGTCATGCAATAAAATGCAAATTAATTACTTAAAAATCATACAATGTGATTTTCTGGATTTTTGTCCGTCTCTCACAGTTGAAGTGTACCTATGATAAAAATTACAGACCTCTACATGCTTTGTAAGTAGGAAAACCTGCAAAATCGGCAGTGTATCAAATACTTGTTCTCCCCACTGTATATTGAACAAAAATATAAACGCAAAAAAATAAGTATAAAAATACTTATTTTCCACCATAATTTGCAAATAAATTCATAAAAAATCCTACAATGTGATTTTCTGGATTTTTTTTCCTCATTTTGTCTGTCATAGTTGACGTGTACCTATGATGAAAATTACAGGCCTCTCTCATCTTTTTAAGTGGGAGAACTTGCACAATTGGTGGCTGACTAAATACTTTTTTTCCCCACTGTATGCATCTGTTGGTTACAGATACCTTAAAGAAAGTGGGCTTCACAATGGGCCTCAGGATCTCGTCCCGGTATTTCTGTGCAT